AATATTTACTTTCAAAATATCTAAAACATTTCTATAATAAGATCTTACAAAGCAAAGCGTTTGCTTTACTTTTTGAGTTTTAATACAAATGTCAAACCTATTTTATACTTTTACTCTTTGCGATGTTCACTTTTGCTTTTGACACACGTTTGTTTTCACTTAGTTAACATTTCACTAACTTTAATTGTTAATGTTTATTTTTAACATATAGAAATATTACCACACTATTCTTTATGTGGAAACCTCATTTGGGACACAATATTTTACGAGGTTAATTCTGAGGTTAGTTGCTTCTGTTGCTATCATGATTGAAGAAGACAATAAAACTCTATGGTGTGGAAATCTATCCGAACAAGTTACAGAAGAGTTGCTTTATGAACTTTTCTTACAGGTAAAATAAGATTATCATGGTAATTTGTATGTTTTGAGTCAAATTCTTACACTATTTGAAATTCGCAGGCGGGACCACTTGAAAAAGTTCGAATACCAAGAGAAAGAGACGGGCGGCAAAAGAATTTTGCATTTATCACGTACTGCCATGAAGTGTCTGTACCTTATGCACTGCAATTGTTTCGAGGTACAGCATTGTTTCATCGGACGTTAAGTTTGCAGAGTCGAGGTCGCGTAGTGCCTTTACCTCCACCGATAAGAAGTTACGGTCTAGAGCCTACTATAGATTTTATGTATCAACATAATATCGCAAATCAATTTACACATATGACGGAAAGATTAATGGATGAAGCTCAGCATATGATTCAGTATCCTGTACAAAGAAATGATTATAATGATAAATTAACAATTGCTAGTTTACAGGGTAATTGGTCTCATAGACATCACCCTTATCACTCTAAAGATAAAAGCCATAAGAAAGATGTCTTTCAGCCGAAAGATAAACACAATGATAATTATAAAAGCCGAGGTAAACAAAACAATAATCGATGGAGAGACAGACGGAATAATAAAAAGAATAGTGGTTATCATAGAAGAGACTAAGAGTTAGCATAACATAAATTAAGACTAGAAGTTCTACAAGAAAATGTAGATAGAAACTTAGCTAAAATATATTTATAACAATTCAAACGCAACAGTAAAATGACATGAGCTAAAAATGAAATTTCATTTTTTATCACTGTTTGCAATGAATTGTAAAAATACATACTGAAAAGCGATATTGCAATCAGAAACCATTTATTGGATTTTTATTATGAAAACATTAAATGTTGGGTACAATTTTAACTGTTAAAAAGTAATTTTAAAATTACTATTTTGATGTAACATTTTATTTTAAAAAAGAAGTAGTTTTGTTTTTTATTTACTTTCTTTTAACTATAATTGACAAAGTACTTTTTGTGCAATTGAAAATTTAAATAAAATATTTTTATTTAAGCATTTAAGCTTGTTGCTGTTCCGATAATTTTGTTCCCATTTCATTTCCTCCTATACTTTTAAATTCATCCTGAAACAGAATACATTGTTTTTTATTGTTCATTCTATATGCCAGGCGTAGCCAACAAGTCAATCGCAACAATTAGTTTGGTTGATTATAGCAAGGCAAAAAATGTAAACTCAAAAACCATGTTAGAAGATGCTCCAATCACAGAGTTTCTTTAGTAAACAATCTTTGGTGTAATGAATGGCATCCCTAATATATTAAAATAGGTAATTGTTAATAATTTAAGGTTAACTATATGGTACCCATAATTTTATAGCCTTTAAAATAAATTTGTCTGACATATTTAGTATTAGCTGTCGCCCGCGACTTCCAGGCTATGCTCTATATGTATGCCAAATTTCATCGAGAATCGTTTAGACGTTCTGGATACCTTCTAACAAACATCCACCCGGATGGATAGATATCCATCTATCTGAACATTCGGATTTATAATATTAGTAAGATTTGAAGAATACAAACGTTTATCTGTAATAATTTTTCTGGTTTTGAAAAATGTAATAAAATAGCATACTTACGATTCTGTTGCTATATTTGTACATAACATAACCCATGATTTCATATATGAAGGCTAAAGATACTAAGTACAGTGAGACTGTTATCACTTTTTCGTGTATTCCAAAGACGTCGGAGAGCAATATTTTGTACACCAGATAAGTGCCAAGGCATCCTCGGAGCAATAGGAACAACACTAGGTATGTTATTTCCACCATGTAATACAAGTAAGATTCATTATATCCCCCATCACGAAGAAACCTGTTAAGATAATAAGAAAATAAGTCAAATTAGTAAATACACAATTAGCATTTGAAGCAATTCGTAATTTGGGTCCTTCGAAGTGGGTATACCTTGCTTCTTAAAAGTTAGATCGCGCGTTATTTTAGTGTACAACTCATCGCATAACTATTGAGGCCAAGTGTAATATAGAAAACAGGATAAAAAAACATGGCATTGCGCCGGTATCATAATTCCTTGAAAGTGGACATCGCATAAAAACAATGATTCAAGGAAGCTATTCATAAGGATTTGAATAGAATACGTACCATCTTGTTTGTAAAAGGGGATTTGTGACCTCTAATAATGCAATGGTGCAAGCAAATGTACACCCAGTGTTCTCCATGCTAAGGTACATATTTATGGCGATGATCGAGCACAGGTGATGGCAGAGCATAGTGTAACTCTTACTCCAGTACAGCAAGCACCAGAGGAAGTCAAATGTGAAGTAGCCCCACGACCAAAACATGAGAGCGTATTGCCACCAAGATAGTCTCACTGCAAAGTTCCTTAAGTAATAAATAAGGGAATTAAACTGTAAGGCGCTTGATTTTTTGTCTTGATAAGACTGCTACATGGGTGCTTACAATCCAGTTCCAAATCAGAACAAAAGATATCCACCACCTCTCCTAAATTCCAGTTTTCAACACATTTGATATATAAGGGTTAAAAAAATCAGTACACTAGCAGCACTTTCCAATTATCAAATCATACTAAAGATTGACTAGATGGATAATCCATATTGAGAGAGCTCCGTGAGGTCTTTCATTTTCTTTTTGTGATATAATTAGAGGCATTAATTGCAAACTTACTTGTTAAAGAACATCGCGTTAGTTGGTTGATATTGCATTGTGCTAGACCTACACACGCGGCCACGGAGCCGTGGAGCAAGGTGACCGCGCGCGAGCACCACTCTGGACTGCGCTTCGAGTCAAACGCCAAATGAAGGTATAGCCCGGTCCACAATAGGAACGATATTAATTTCGTCAACGATGTTGCTGATAGTTCGGATTTTGCTTCCATTCGTAGAACCGGTTGGATTTGGGATTTAAAATGTTTAGTTTGTATTCATTTGGGGGGTGTGTTGTGGGTTGATTTTGTAGGTTTCGTGTGATCACATGACGGATTTAGTATTTGTCAAATTATGGAATAAGTTTAAGTTTTATATAAAACAAATCTATATTTGTTTATGCCTCGTGACTTTTTTTGTAAAAGATAAATTCCACTGATATCCCCAATTCGATAAAGGAATAAAGGTTACGTCGCGTCGCTGATTTTAAAAAAAGTCTTGGAAAAGAGATGAATATCGCAAATATTATTGGTGGTGGTAGCAATAATAGTGCAAAATGCTTGGGAGTGGTGTGGAGGGTCTCAAAAAAAAGTGCATTGGTATTTTAGCATTATTATGTGTAGTTTCTGTACGGGAAGGTATGGAGTATTTATTACATAAGTTGTCGTCATATCGTAAAACATTTTATTTATTTATGTTTTTACAAATGTTACAGCTATAAAAATACCTTTCGCACAGTTCAGTCATTTAATAAATCTCTTTCCCCTTTTTGCGTTTCCGTTGTAGCACAGAGCGATTTAAAAAATAAATAAATTGTATCAAAAACAAATAAGGCACAATTCAAACAATTCACGCTACTTAAACATCAGTTGAGAGATTCTGTACATCTTGAACTTGTTTTATATATTATTTACATTGTAATAAATTTATAAGACATTCATTTATAAAAAAAAAATGTTTAAACGAAAATGATAAATATGATATTTACTCTCAATATTACCGGCAACGAAGTTTATCAACATATTTCTCTATCGCTCTATATCTAGTTGGCGGCATAGCGTCTTTTAACATTTGAGGAAACCGTGAGTCCTCGGCGAGTGCGATCCAGAGGTGCCTCGCGTGCGCCCGGGCTTCCGCGCTCGCGTCGCCCAACAGTTCCCCTGTGGCGCGCAGCAATAGGGTTCGAGGCTCCACGGGCATGTCCAGCATGGGTGACGCGCCGTTGTGCCGCACCAACGCCGCCAGGGCCTGCGCCGCCGCCGCTCGCACAGGCCCCGCGCGATGCGCAGCGCCTCGCCGCGCCAGTGCCACAGCCGCGCGGGCTCCCACGCCGCCGCACGCAATACGCCGCAACGCACTTGTCGCATCCGCTCGTAAGAACCTGTTCACGTCAGCGCAGCGCTCTAGCAGCGCTCCTGTCGCTTCGTCTAGCTCTGGGTCAAGCGTGCGCCCACGATGTTCGAACAGAGCTCCGAGAGTAGAACACGCCGCCCTGGCCACTTTAGACCGCAGCGAACGTACATGTGTGGCCGCGGCGCGGGTCGCCGCCCGCCAGCTGCTGGCGGGAGCGCGCGCCGTTATATCCATAGCCATTTGTTCTGTTTCTATCAAACCGGTCACGATAGCCTCCCAGTCTTCGTGTCGCGCTGGCATAATACATTCAGCGAGCGCAGTTCGTACATCCCGCTCACCTAAAGATCGTCTCCCGCTGCTTTCGCGGGCCAATTCCGGCGTTAACCTAGCACTTTTTATTGGGCTTGAAGGTTCACTTTTACTTTTGGAAACAACTGAAGATTTGCCACTGAGTTGTTCGAGCTCTATAGATTCAATGGTTTCGACACTAGATTTTTGTGCTTCAATCGTTTCTTTGACGCTATCTGTGGGTAGATCATCTGTTTTTATTTTTTCGCTACGAAGCGAAGGAGTAGATTTATCTGATACATCCTCGATTTGTAGCGAAGGCGACTTAGGTGGTGTTGGTACACTATCCTCCTGAGCTACTTGAGTTTCATCCTTTTCATCGTCTTTATTTTCAGGAAGTTTGTCCTCACTCTCGATTGGAGTTGCGACAGTGGGTGTCGTCTCTTTCTCATTAGCCGTATTAGTTAATGAGCTCGAGTCTCTGGAAATGAAAAGAAAACAAAAGTTATGCACGACAATCTTTTATTTAAAAACCTTGGTCGAATAGTGTCAGGTATTCCGTGAGAGCGTAGGCCTATTGCGTCAAGTTATATCGTGTAATATAGTTTAAGTTGAGGAGGGTGTTACCGCGTATGCGGGGGCAGGTCGGCGACGAGGTCGGGCCGCACGGACGCGGTATTCCGCCGGTGGGAACAGCAGCAAAGTCGCATGCCCACTGCCCGCGGCCGCGGCGCCTCCGCGACTGACTCACTGACACTGACTGACGCGGCTCGACCTCCCCGGCCACTCGACACCCCCTGTCTACTCCGCATTCAATCGCTCTATGTGGGCGTGTTGATGAACTCACTACAAACACCACTACTGCTATCGCCTGCATATTATGCAAATAACCTGACTACAGATATGCGACTGCTAAATCGCTAATGTCAAGTTTAACTAACGTTGGTTTGATAACTTTAGTACGAATTTAAAAAAAACCTATTTAATATTTTCTTCCTAAGCTTACGTTTATTGTAGAAATTACTGAAATGTTAACTGATCGGAAAATGGTAAACAGTAGGAGTAGTTTAGTTTTCACAAGAAATGACCACATTTTTAATTGTAGAAAATGTCCTATCTGGGGCATGCCATGGGCGTCGCCAGGGAGGTAGCGAGGGGCAGGCAGTAGCCCCTCTAGAGAAATAAAATATATAGACATAAAAACTACTCCCAATTAGACTATATCAATAGTAGCCCCCCACCCCCTCCCTAGACTTAGCCTAAATAATCAACTGGCGACGACCATGGGGCATATGGTAACATATTATATAATGGGGGTCATTGTTACTTATACTATGAATTTGTAGATGTTTATTAGCCGTTAAACGTCTCGCTAACCCAATTCGAGATCTATTAGCTGATGTTTGCCCGTTTGAAGTGGAACGATCAGGCGATAGCAGTAAATGGGTCGTATTCAAACGCCCTCAATGGAAATCGAGCTGTTACTTCGACTTTTAAATGTAGGTCAGTGGTGGCACGCAATTACATTTAGTGTTACCGTCTATTAGTTTTTTTAATACGTGCGTGCTAAATACTAATATAAGCCCCTGATACGTTGCCGTAGCCAGTCCAGATTAACATCACATTGTATTAATAGCGAATAAACCGTTGTAAAAACCCAAACGTCTGGATTAGCGACCTACTGACCTCTTTAAGTCAATGCAATTTGCACATGTGGTTTCGTTTTTATTGGAGCAAATAGTGAGAAGCTACCAGTGCCACCTATTGCTCCCCAAAAATCTCACAGTCTTTGTATGATCGGAAGTCTATTCATGGATCTGTTAAGGCGTGGCAAAGGACAAAGTTTAATTTTTGCCCTTAAGTATCTATTGCGTAGCGTTGCTACGTAACGCTACGTCCAAACTTTAGCCCTTTCTTAACCTTCAGTCAAGTCTTTTCTTTGAAAGACTTGACTCAATTCGCCTTAAACATTTTCGTATTCCATTAAATAGTCATGTGGTTATATCGATTAAATTGGGGCTGACACCTATTGTTGACAGTGATTAGCATTTTACATTTCGATGTCTATAGAATTGTATACTGGAATTTACAATAATTTTAATTCACACATTCAATCATTGTACATTATTGAGATTTTTATGCATTTAAAATTATTATCATACATGGTAATGTACTCTATCACTTCTATCATGTATGAATAATCTCAGACATAGATATTTTATTAGTTATGACATATTCCGGTTGTGAACAACACCCACTTCTACTATGTCTACTATGTCAGCTGAATTAGTTCTCATTGTATCAAGGTCGGTCTACGCTGTAAATGTTACGACAATTCACATCATTGGTATAAATTATTGCTTTTAAGCGTAGACCGGCCTCTCGTGGTTTGACGCGAATATTTAAGGTTGCATAGTGCATATTCGGGCTATGTTAACGTTGATGATATCGAGAGTTGTTGGTATGAAACATGTCTTTAGAAATCGCGCTAAGGATTAGGGTGGGCGTCGTCTTTCTCGCCAGTGTTAGGTGTAATGAAAGGTGACAACCCTACGAGAAGCCCACATTTAATGGTTCATAAAGATACATGCACAAATATATTTAAGTCACGTTCCAGGTATAAAGAATATGTTGTTACTCCACGTTTCAATTTCAAGCATGTACTTGATTTTATTCAATATAAATGGTGATTAACACAATCACGGTTTATCAGGCTTGTTAACGAATAGTTAATCCGGGGTTTAACGAAAGTTTAGTTTTTGATTCGCGATAACATTTATCTATCGGACTAGGTAATTTTCTCTATTTTAATAAAAGTAACTAGTTAATGATGCATAAATAACGTGAACTTTGAAATTAATTAAGAACAACAAAAACATACTTATCGCTTAATTCAATTGGGGACAGAGGCTTCATTATTACATCTCTGCCTTGTGTAACACCTGAAACAATTAATAAGTTATCCTGGTATAGAAGTTCTCATATTTTTATTGGTGGCTCGGAACATCATGAGAGTCGCTTCGCGGAACATTGTGTTACAGGTAGCGTGGCGTAAAATTAATGCGGGGAACACTGCGCAGCATGTTATTGGCCTTGAGCCGCCAAGATATTTGAAAACATGTATACAGTATTTATTCGATCGAGAATTCATCAGGACAGTTTCATATCAGGTTGAAATGTTCAACAATTTATTTAGATAAATATAATGCGTGATAATGTAGCTTACCAGGCAATGGAGCTGAGTCTGGCAGGGGTCGTAAACGCCGTGGTTTAGTCGGCGGCGCTGCGGGTGGGGTCGACCGGGCACGTCTCGTGGGTACCGGTAGTTGGGAACTTCTGCACAAGTTTAATTTATATCATTTAATTATATTTACTTAATGATTTTTAATAGTAGACCTTTCCTTAATTGAATATAATTGAATTCTTACCTGCTGAAGTGACTGGGTCGAATATTTTCAATGGGCTTATTCAGTCTTTCGCGAAGCTGTAAGTAAAAATGTTTTTCATAAATTAAAAGTAATTAATTTAAATTAAGATCTTAAGTTCGCAAATTAACATAACCTCAGTAGTGTCTTACCTGTCGACAAAATGCATCCGCGCGCATGGAGCCGGCCAAACGACGTCGTACAGCTGCCATTACGGCGGCCGGTCCTGCAGCACGCGCCAGGCACAACGCCGCGCGCAGTTGCGCTGACTCCGCTTGCTTACCATCGCGCAACTATACATTATTACCCAGCTTAAATATCTCTAGATACGAACTCTACATTCCATTGTGACAAGTACACAATGGAAATTACCTTACAACAGGTTATTCAACTTAGTAGTCATAAGGTCAGACTAACTCCACTTTGAAGATCAAAATGAGGATTTACAAAGCCAAACAGTGCAATGAATTATATATTTGGTTCTTGTTGAAGTTTTTTTGAGACTCACCCCAATCATATCAGAATCGAATATAAGGTCAATGAGATGGTGCAGCGCGAGTCGCTGCAGCAATGCATGCGGTAATGCTGCAGGCGGCGGATCGCGGGCTATTCGCGTTATTAACGCTGGGAGTAGCTGCCGCGCGCATGAGCTGCTAACGCCGCGTACTAAGGCACATACCGCGCCCTCTGCCGGCGCCCGCGTAGCTGGCACCTGCACTCAAACAGAAGACTTCATCAAGACAATGGATTGATTATATATCTACAGAGCTCTTACAACGGAAATGACGTAAAGTTATACTCGAATCTGAAAAATAATTTGCTTCAAGCATTAACCGTAACATTAAATAGCAAATTGATTGAATCTCTGCTAAATGTACCAAGGACTAATAATTTGAAACTTTACAATATCTACGAAGTATTACATAAGAAGGTAACTGACCGCGTCGCTCAGCGCCCACATGTGCTGGACTAAAGATAAGGCGGCGGGCTCAGCTCTACGCACGCTACCTGCCTCCAGGAGCGCGCTGTGTAGCTGATCCGCCGCCCGTACCGCCGCTATCCAGTTCTCCTAACAAGGTAACATTTATAACAATACACATGATATCAAAAATCTACTAACGTATGCGTGTTTGAGGTGCGGTAGCAGTTTGGTACTAATGTCGGTACATCAAAACATCTTCGTGTTATTGGCCATGTCGCATCTATCTTAAGATTTTAAACTCACCGTATTGTGAAGCTGATCGCAGACGTGTGGTGGCACTATATCCAGCTCCTCCCAGTCGTAGCGGCGGCGCAGCGGGGACGCAGCGCGGGGCGACAGTAAGAGTGACTCGGGCGGGGACGTAGCCACCAAGTTAAGCACGAACCTACGCCATATTCTCCTCATAAGTAATTTTTTACTGACTTGTGTTAACGTCTAAATAACTAACGCAAATATTCAATGCGGTAATAGCCATAATAATTTCCTGTGTAATACTATAGTTATTTTATACTGTAATTCCATGGAGACAAAACAGACCTCGTATCTAATTCTAGCAGCCCACGCTCGAATAGATTGTGCTGGGTCAAAGGATGCGAGTTACGCAGATTTGACTAGTAAATTGCTTAAAGTATCTAGCCTGATTGCTTTTATGTTTGTAAGTAGTTACCTACGTAATGGTACGATGACATCCATTGCGAGAATAAAGCAATTTGGTGTAAAATCAACGTTTGTATTTTTAACACCATGATAAAAACATGCTTTTAATCATTTCGGATGTAGCTTGAAGAAATTCGACGTTGAGGTAGGACTTCTAATGACCCTGTATGTTCGATTATTTGATAACATTGTTTACTCTACCCCGAGTTATAACTAACTTATGTGTGTTTGTTACTCACCCATCTTTTTCTATATGTACTCTAGTTTGTTGTCTTCTTGGAGAGACCGAAGGACTGCGCTGAAGATTGTGAAGCACCTCCACTTCCTTGTGCGTTTCCACAGGACTTGGTATTTTCTCAGGTGATCGCACTTCAGATAATGTCAATGCAAATTTAGATGTATCCCTAGATTTTGCATTTTCTCCGTCAGTTTTCTTGTTGAAATAATCGTATAACTCGCTTAGTGATTTTGACTTTGATTTGATTGTGTTATTATTAATCAGATCGTTCTGTTTGCGTGTTCGATTATGAATCACAGGCAGTGGTATCGCACTCTTTTTAGAATTCGTTCGGAATTCTCGGTCAACTGTTTCTCGTTTGATTTCGTTCATTTTATTAATAATATTTGGGGTAGTCGGTAAAACAACATCGATGCTTTTTTCCCGCATCGTGGAATTATGATTGGTGTCTTCTTCACTAGTTATATTATCGCTGTCAGGTGTTCGGATTTTAACGCTCTCTCCGCCGAACCTCACTTTCTTAACAACAACATCGGAATCTTCTGATTCGTCATCGCTATACTTTAACATATTGCGGTCGATGCTATCATCGTCATCGCTCCCCGTGTTTTTCTCTGACTCAGTCTCGTTTTGTTCCAGCACGGTCATAGTGATAGCCGTATCAGAGTCGAACTTTATTTCCGTCTCTATTATTACCTTTCCATAATTGTTCGTATAATAGGGCATTGCGTAAGATTCCTCTGACGAAGAATCGGAAGGGAAACGTATAGGGGCTTTGAAATTATTATTGTTAAAGTTATGATTCATTTTCGTATGTTGTGAATTACGATTGCCGTAGCTTCTTCTAGGAGCGTAGTACACATCGAGAGAATCTTCGTCGAACTTATCGCAGAGTACACGAAATTTTTCCTGCACCTTGGGATCCAGTCTTGAAAAGGCCAACATGTAATCTCGAGGTCCACAGATTCTCCGAAGTTTCATAAGAGAGCGCAGGGCGACATCTCTGTGTAAGGATTCAAAAAGTTTATCCCCTAAAATATTGAAAACTGGAAACATGTCTAGACCCGGGTTTCTACGTTTGAGGATAGCCATCACAGACGGAATCGATAGAACTAAACCAGTTATAACGTTTACCTTCGTATCAAAGCCCGAGGAAAGGGGTCTGATGTTATTATAAGAACATTTATCTATAATAGCACTAGCAGCGCATTCTGTATCTTCGCAGTATGTGCAAAAAACTTTAAGAGCGTCCAAGGCAGCTTTCCTTACGTTTGGAGAGCCGTGTCCCAAATTGTCGATGACTTGATCGAAAGGAAAGGAGAGAGCGTTTCCCGACAGCGGTAGAAGGTCGGCGAGTACTCTGAGGGCGTGAAGACGCACTTCCCATTCAGGGTGTACGAGGCGGTCTCTGATAGCGACATAGAGCAGATCGACGTCGAGGTCGGGTGGCAGCGCGCGCGCCCTCAGCACGCGGTCCCAAAGCGGGGCAAGCGGTGGCGGCGGCGGCGTGCCCGGCAGCTGCATGGCGCGCGACTGCCGGCAGGGACCGCGTGCCCGCCCGCGCCGCACAGCGCCGTTCAACTGGGTTAATGATCGGACGGTAAGCCACGCCGTCTCTGACCGATCGAATCGATGGCGGTCTAACACGACCCCTATTACACGCACATACTGCCTAACCGCGTCTTCACAATGAACGAAACTTTTATGCCTCGTATCGTAAAATCTAAGAGGAAGGTGTTCAGCCTTGATCAAGGTCCGTAATAAGTCTTACTAATATAAAAATATGAATGTTTAGATGTATAAATAGATGTAGAATATGCCCTGGAAGAATATGTTCTTAATTATTAGCTTATAGGTAGCGAAAAAGCCTTGTCTTTGAATGAAAAGACCCCTCATCGAATATCGGCCAGCGTGATTAAGCAACGATTATAAACGATCTGCGATAATGGTTAATAATAGTATTATCTTAATTAGACGCTTGTTTTACAAGCAAGCGTCTAATTAAGACAAGATTGCATATTTTTTTTACTTTAATGTACTTTTTTTATACTGCATGCCGACCAAAGAGCAGAGCATCATGCAGCAACTCTATGTGGGTCAGCAGTGACAAGATGACAAGCCTAAAGGTCTATGTTACCAGGTCATAAAATTAAAAAAAAACAAGATGACAAGCGACCACAAACTACACCCATAAAGTAAAAGAGAACGAACACCCAAATCTCAAACAAAACTCATGTTGTTTTAGTTTGTTCTCAATTTTATAATATAACAATTAATCTTTTAATTATGATTAAGTTTTTGAGAGAAAAGTAAAATAGTTATAAGATGTTTCATCCGAGTTTTTCGAGAATGCATCATTAATTGCGAGTGCAAACAACATATAATGCTTACACAATGAAGCCAAGATCACTCATATTTTTTATATTTACATCCTTCAATCTACACTGGATAATTGCTGAAAATGAAAATTGTACGAGGAGTAACAGCCGTTGTGACTATAAGGCTAACGTCCGTAGATTATCGGAAACACTTGCCAATAAGTTTCGTGAAATAGTGATCCAAGAACTAGGAAGCGAATATACAACTCACTTAGAGTTAAGGAATGGGTTTAAGGTGAGCCGATATCAATACAGTGACAATAATGTACTAGATAGTATAACTGATAAGTTAAACTACAAGCTTACCTCGGCAACTAATATTCTAGTTGAAATGAAGAATGAAATGAACCAAAGCAACACTCCGTCCTTTACTCACCCTTGCCCTTTCAATTCCATTCGTAAATCTGTTTTTATCAAGAATACGAATATGTATAACTTGCCTTACATGGATACCAAATCTAAAATGCTGGATAGATTTAAAGACTTAAAAATAAAGAGACAATATTTTCTATCCCATATAGATTATGCAACTGATAAAGATTGTACGACTGTGCCACATTCTAATTTAAGATATCTATATCATAAGATTATACACTCCAATCCTAAATTAATTGTTTTTATCATTGACAACAGTATGTCAGCAGACTCTCTTCTGCATGCATTAGCTATAACAAAGGAGACTGCATATTCTTTACAGAGTATAGACATGATGGCTCTGAAGATAACAAACATGACAGACTTTTTCAAGTTCGAAGACTCTTGTAGTTACGGTATGTCTAATTTAGGAAATGCTACTGAGAATAATAAGCTCTTGCTGCGTGAATACCTCACTACCATTGATATTGCAAGCTCCAATTTATCACCACTAACAATAAACATGGAAATACAGAAGTTATTGCTTGAGAAAAAGTTGCCAAAAGACAAATTATTCATATTACTAACTGACTCGAAGGTGTTAAAAAATGATACATGGCTGAAAATGTTTCCCTTTGGCAAACATGAGGATGATATTAAATTTGCTATTGGATTAATAAATGAAGGTAATATTGATAAAAATGGATCTTTAGAAATTTTACATGTTGATAAAGGACATAATCATTCGAAAAACAATACTGTTATGAGGCTACATATTAATGACAGTGGAGTGATTGGTCAAATGGCTTCGGCTTTCATTTCTTTACTGCCTAATAAATATGAAAACAAAATTAAAATAGAAGGCCCAGTTTGGGAAGCTACGGAACGCGATTTTATGATGTCACTTGTTTATCCAATTACGTCTGGTATACTTGGCTTAGATTTATATTGGTCCGATCTTGCGGAAGATATTATTTATTTTAAAGGAACCAACCAATGGAAGAGAGCATTTATTATGGATTTTTCAGGAAGAGTTTTGATGCATACATATTTTCCAAGGCCAGAAGCGGCTTCAGAAAAAATTAAATTTACATATTTAGAAGCTATTGAACCATACGATTTTATAGATGAAGTTAAAACACATTTGTTATTGCATAAAACAGGTAACAGAACATTTCCTGATCATAATAGTACAAGAACAATAACATATTCTTGGAAATGGGTACAAAATTTATATGTTGTATGTCTGGTGTCTGAATCTAGAAATAACAATTCATTTAATAAGTCAAACATATTTTTCACGAAAAGCAGTAAGGAAATATTGTTCCATAGGCTTGATTTATTTCCTCCGAAATCAGGTACAATGTGTCGACATTTTAAACAGATAGCTACTATTGACCAAGGTACTGTTTATCTTAGTCCATCAAGTTTTCAATCTCCATTTACATATCTTTATGATATGGGTGATGGCCAAGAAGCAGTGACTTATATGCAGAATTATTTAGCTTATTTAAAAAGTGTCGCACATGGATGGCTTTCTAATCCAGGTCTTAAAAATGAGATACAACAAGATGTTGGTTTCCTCAACTCAATATTATCCTTTTTTAAAAGGCAACATTTACATGGACCTTATTCAAAATATGTTGTTAGAAGATACGCTGTAACTGAAAGTGGTGTACTAGTTATGTATCCAGGAACTGTTTTAGAATATGATTATGAACCAGTTAGAAGACCATGGTTTACTTTTGCTATGGAAAATCCTGGTAAGATAATTTTAACTCCACCAAATCTTGATGTAGGTGGTGCAGGATATGTTGTGACTATTTCCTATGCTATAAAAAGTTTAGTGTATCCAACTATGGTTGTATCTATGGATGTCACTATGGGGTTCCTATACAAACTTCTTATTGAAAGCTTGCCATTGTGTGCCATGTCCTATGTAAAATGTTTAATAATGAACAATCGGGGATATTTAGTTTCACATCCTGGTTTGATGGATCCTAATAGCTCTGGTCCAATAGAACAACAACATATTACTCATAAGGAATCTATGATTGCTATTGACTTGTTAAATCATAAAGGTTTCGTTACAAAACGACTGTGTAATAATTTCTTTGATAAAACTATACAAAGGTTTTATGAATTTAATACTTCTTTACCTCATGTGCTCTCTAATGTAGTTCCTGGTGATCATTGTATCCATTATTACATAGCAACAATACCTGGTACAAATGCTTTTATAGGTTTAGTTAATGCGTCATGTAATGTAGGAGCATTCTGTCCATGTAGTATGGTTGATAGACTTTGTTTGAATTGTAATCGTATGGAGCAAACTGAATGTGAATGTCCATGTGAATGTAGCTCTGAGGTATACGATTGTCCTGATGCAAATATTACAAGAATAAACCAAGATATACCACTTTGCGGTTTAACTCCTGAAAATAATAATCATAGATCGCATTATTTCCACAATTTTGCAGAAAACTTGAAGTCTTGTTTTGATTTTCAATGTGAAACATACCTCACACATTCAAGTTGTTTAGGTGTTTTGGGTTGTGAATGGTGTCAAGTGGATGCTGATGGCAGAACGCCGTTATCTTCACCGTTTTGTACATCGCAGTCTACATGTTTTAATGGAGTATTAGGTGCAGTAACGCCGTACGGTGAAAGCACATATGGCCATGCTAATAGAGAAGCTTTAGGAAGTTACTCTGCCATTGGTCCAATAGCGGGTTGTATTATTACAGTTAGCTTAGTAATAGCAGTAGCGATATATTGTTATAGACAAAATGTGCCCACTGCCAGTTGTCATAATTTATATGTGGATGGGCCGGCTGAAACGTGGCACGATGCAGATGTGCAAATGAGTCACTTGCATTCTGAAGATATGCACGATCAATCGGGTCAGGATAAATTGTTACCGGCAATGGAAATAGAAGCACCTATATCGCCCTACCGGGTCATAACTGGATACAAGCGGCCACACACTGCTGGCGGTTCGGACCACGGTTACTCAACTATGACTCCCCATGAAGATTCAGAAGCAACAGGATTCTCAGTTAATGATCCAATTATATTATCAGATGACACGAAATCTGATGTCAGCTGCCCGATTCCAGCCAAAATAAAACCCAGATTAAAACCTGATTTTATGACCGTAGTACCGTGTGGTAAAAACAGTGTAATAGCCCCAGTGACTGTTCATAGACATATGGAGGCATCATAGTACTAAATATATTTTAATCTACCTCCTTTGTACATAATGCTGATAATCAAAGTTGATTATTGTGATATGTTTGTTTGCCGACAGTTTTTATGACTAAGTTTTTTGTAAACATGATTTTTTACTTGCAATATTTCTTTGACATCCTGCGGTGCTCGTTTTATACTACTTTTATGGTATTAATGTTCCAGAGAACAATTTATTGTACTACTATTGAATGCAATTTCATTTATAACTTAAGATGGTACTTAAAACTATGTATACTTGTAAGTCATATCGGATACGTAAATTTTAAGATTAAATAAAATGGAGCAGGTTATTGTATACATGTTACTTCGTAGCTATAGTATTTATGACTTTATATGTTACTTTTTGATATATAAGGTTTACTTTTTATTTTTATACTGTGCCAGTGCCTCCTGCAGACTAATCATTTGTAATTGTGCGTATTTTTAAGACTGACCTTGACGTTACATAGTAAAATAAAAGCTATTTTATAAACAAATATCTTTGACTTTTATTTCAATTATTAAAATACATAATTACACACAAAGTTTAAGAAAATAATTCACTAGTCATGTACACATCATCCTTATTGCTTTTTTACATATTTAATTCTGCTAATACATTTTCACAGTATAAACAGATTTTTATACAGTGTGTAAATTTTTATGTATTTAAAAAAACAAGTTTGAAAGATGTGATTTGTTGTATTTCACACGTCGAATCGTATATGTGTGTGCGTGGGCTGGGGGGAGGCGGGGTCGAGCGCGGGGGCGGGGCCGGCGGGCTCCCTGCCCCGCCCCCGCCGCCCGCGCTTCCCCGCAGCGCGCGACTCCTCCGCACGCACCCACTGCTCCTGTTCCTCCGCTCCGCAGAGTACCCGAGCGCGGTTGTTTGAATTTGTGCAGTACTGTAAAGAGAATGGGCAGCTAATTACTTAAGCAATACTAATTATATCAAAATTATTAAATAACAAAAAAGAAGCTAAATTAGATTGGTATTGATAATTTGAAAATAAGCTTCTCAAACAGTTATATAGTGTTACGCAACAACAAACACCATTGAATTTTTTTACAAACAGAATAATTGTCTAGTCTTGTTCAAATTAATTTACCTCATCAGCAGCTTTGGCAGAATCAAAGCGAATGATGACCTCTGAGAGTCCCTCTTTAGCCTCCACATGTTGAGCGTGGATATTGGTTTTAATCTGTAAATAATAAAGTAACTATTAACAAAAGTTTTAATTATTAACTATTGTAACAAACTATTTAAGAAGAGTTTATTGGTTAGTTAATAATGACTACTAGATGGCGCTAGCAAAATAAGTGCAACACTGGCCACCGATAATCCACCAATACAAATAGAAAAATATAATAAAAAAGAGTACAAGATGTCATAAGCAAGAAGTGACACCAAAATTGATGTGCTCATGCAAATTATTGTAGTATATTAAGAACGTAATAAAGAAATGTTTAAAACCGATGGAACTAGTTTATATTTATCTAATTATAAACTTACAGTTCTTTTAACAAGCCTGACATCAAGGCAAGGTTCAGGCAACACCTCCTCCACAAACACACCCGGTATTCTCTCCAAGGGTGCTACAGTTTTACTGCTTTCTATCTCTTGGGATTTTATTGCTGTAATGAAACATTATGCATGTCAACATAATTAAATTAAAGATATTTATTAGTACAATTAGAAGCCAACTGCCAAATTCTACAACAAAAGATTTTAGTTTAAACCCATAGTTATATGCAACAGTATTACTAAAATTACAAATGCCAAATTTGAATGGATGTATGTTAGAAGGTACCTACAGAAAGGTTGCATGAATGTAGATGAAATTTGGTATAGATGTACAACACTCGGAGAACATACAGGCTACTTAACAATCTTTTTTTAATTCCCCACATGCAAAGTCACGGGCAAAAGATATCTTACTAATATTATAAATGCGTATGTTTGGATGGATGTTTGTTTGAAGGTATTTCCAAAATGGCTGTATGGATCTTGCTGAAATTTGGCATAAACATATAACATGGTATGGATGAACACATAGGCTACTAAATAAGTTAATTTTAATATGTTGCAGTCGGAGTCGCGGGCGACAGCTAGTGTATGATAAATACATACCTGATTCGCCTTCTAATGTAGGCGCGGCAGACGCTGGTATGGCTGTATACACATTTTTCTTACTGTGATGCATAGCTCGAGCTTCTTTCATATATTTCCTTTGCAAGTTGAGATATTTATTTCTAAGCGCTTTCCATTCACACTTTGGTAGCACTTGCAAACCCCATAATCCGTTTTGAACTTCCGTCTTATTCAATTTGGTCTTATCTTTTGCACCATTTTTTGTCTTTCTCTTCTTAATTTTCTTCTTCCGACGTGGTGATCCATCATTTTTTGATTCATCTTGACTTGTCATTTCGTCTTTTGATTCGGCATCTGTTGTTTTACCTTCCTAATATTAAATAAAATTAATTAAACGATGGCATCACTAATTTCAACTCTAGATGGTAGTAAACATTAACTTTTTTCGTTTTTTCTTAACAAATATTTTGGCGGTTCAAGGTCATGTGCACGCTGCGCAGTGCTATTGCCTTGCATCCTGCTATGCTGAGAATCGCCAAGATGTCTGATAACTACTATACCTGTATAAAAATTATAAGGCTGATTTTTTCACAAAAATATTTACCTCAGTTGGTGTAGCTAAACTTTTGTTTTCATCCTGCAAAGTAATAATTTATATATTATATTTTTTATTACTAAGATTGATAATTTATTAAGACAAGATGCTTTTTAGGATGTACCTTGGTAGTAATAAAGTATAAAAAAAAAGTATTTTATTACCTCTGATGGTGTTGCTATACTTTTATTTTCTTCCTGTAATAAAAAAAAATAATCAAAATATGTACATATTTTATATGAATTGTTAATTTTGTTAAAACAACTAACACTTGGTGTTTCCACTCTTCTTTCAGAATCCGAATCATGTTCAATCTTTAGTTCAAGATTCTTCTTTTTATCTTTTGATTTTTTGTTTTTCTTCCTTGGTGGTTCATATTCCTCTTTACTTTCATTTGCATCATTTGGTGGTTCGTCTATTGAAAACATTTTTATAGAAGAAAGTTCCTCGGGTGGCATACATGTTGGTAATTTGCAGCCCATTTTTATAAAAGCATTAATACATTTCTGAGCTTCTTGAGGTTTTTCAAACTCAATAAAACCAAAACCCTGGAATTTTAAGAAAAACTGTTTAAATATAATGCAGAAATTAAGTTTGTCACATTGTAGATCCAACTAGATTTAGTGTGATTTCCATAGAAAGAAATACAAAACAAAAATATGATAATAAACAAAAACAGATGGGGTTGAATCTGTAAGTCATAATATGGACTCTTTCTAAGTATTTTTTATAATTGACTTTTAAAAGATCAAGGTCATTTGCTTATTCTAATTTGATAAACATATTTCAAATTATTATATATAATATATTCCACCGTACCTTAATTCTTTGTGTATTTCTAAATTTTGGTAGCGAAATGTATGCTACATGACCATAATTGGAGAAAACTTTCTTTAACCAATCTTGTGTTGCTTTTACGGGTATTGATTCTACATAAACAGTTCTTGCATCAACATCATAAGGCAATAATGGGGTTTTTCTCCTAACCTGAAATTGTCAAATAAAAGTCCAAAACAAATAGGTAAAATATTCTAAATAGAAAAACATAAAATTGCTCGATTTATATTGGCTGTGTCAACATGGGATTGCGAAAGTACCTTAAGTTTATCTTCAGAGAGTTCTAAGAATGTGGAATGTGATAAAGCTTTCGCGATATCGTGGATTTCTTGAGTCATTGAGCTTATTTTATTAAATTTTAAAAATTCGCTAATAGGAACGTATGGATCCTTGTTAACTAATTCATTGAGATACCGATCCTTGCTTAAGTTTGCATCGCTAAAGTAAAATTCCATTTGCTTTATAATGTTATCGTATAATTGTCGTTTACGATGCCGTATCCGCTTTCTGGGAATGTTTTCAAGCTTCGATTCTTGTTTTCGATCTACAGTTTCTACTGATTCTGATTCTGGCATCTTTATATCACACTTGATGAAATCGTTTTATTTAAAACTGTATAGGACACTTCTAAGGTGTTATTTTTATTCAACAAACAAATTAACCAATAGAAGATAAAATATTGGAAATATGACAGTAATGAGCAATGTGACTGTGACAGTTGACAGCAAAGACAGTTGTAATATGACAGATAGCATAAAGCGACAGAGTATGCAATCGATTTTTATTTAGAAACTTTTTTCAGAAGGTAAAAATATTAAATTAATTTATGTTTATAAAATGTTTTGATTACTTAAATTTGACATGTAATAATATAAAACCCTCAATAAAATTCACCAAAAATGGATACGGGTTAAACGAGAAGGAACATTGTGTTAACCCTGGTTCATAATGGAACACAATAGGATTTTGACATTTCTCAACTTTTCGTGGTCCAGTTCCGTCGTGTCGAGTATATGTGGAATAAATTTTTGTTTGTTAGATAGTGAGGCGTTTCGGAGATAATTTGTTAAAAATATTGTTTTTGTATCAATGCTTTCGATTCCAATTTATTTAGTGTTTAATTAAGTGTGGATGCTGTGTTATTCATCATAGATTTCAAAGATAGATTTGTGGCAAGGAAGATGACAGTATTTATCTTGAACAGTGTTATTTCCGTTAAATTGTGTTAAATAATCGCAATGTCAAAAACAATAAAATCTGCCAACGTAACTTTAAAGCCTATTGAGGTTTCAAAAGCTTTACAACAAGGGGAGAAATTTATAAAATGGGATGAGGTGAGTACTTTAATATTTCGATAAGTTTTAGAAACTTTTTTGATAGAATTACAAACTAAAGTTGTTAAAAATTATCTTGTATTGTAACTTTTATCTTGATTATTTTCTTATAAAAGAGAGTATTATTAAAATTATGGTTTTAATTTAGGATTCTGGGGCTGGACTGCCCGTTACGCTTCGGGTGGACCCAAAAGGATTCTATTTATTTTGGACTGACCAGAATATGGAAGTTGAAATGTTGGACATAGCAACTATCAGGGATGTAAGAACTGGTGTCCATGCTAAAGTACCTAAGGTAAGTAAAGTAAACTTTAAATAAAGTATTTTTTTTATTATTCTAGTTTAAAATAATTATTTTTGATATATTCAAACTTGAGTTAATTAAATAACAGAATAAGAAAAGTAATGACTTCAGGCTGGATGTATTACTTACATGGTATTATTTAAGATTTTATTCACTATTCATTAAATAGGTAATTTTGAAAAGAAATGAAAAAAACATTGGAAATTATGAATCAAAGTAATTTTTTTGGAGTAAATTCTAATAGAAAGAAGTGCAACAGGTAATTTGGCCGCTGTATTAGCATTCTGTCTAAAATTATAGATTTACTATTTATCTTCAATCTTATTTAAACAACAATATTAATTGTTCTGCATGATATAATTTAAAGTTTGTTTAGTTTTATTTAAGAGGTGTCCTTTAGTATAGCTGTAACCTTTTGACGGCTAGAAAGGGCAGGCCCTTTATGCATTACCTTTACATCTTAAAGTAAAATAGTGATAGTTTGGGGACTATAATTAAATAAGAATTAAAATAAAATTATTGGATAACACAATATTTTGATAATGGTTTATTATGGATTGTTATTGAAAATATTTTATATTTAAATCTTATATTTGAAAGTTTCAAAACTAAAGACTTTTTTTTACAAATCAAACATTTCCTGATTTTTATTAATTCTGGTAAATTATAAATAAAAGTTTATTTTTAACATACGAAAATAAAATATGTTTTAAAAGCTAATTAACAAAAATTTAATGCAATGTGGTAAAAAGTAAAAGTAAAGCGGAAAACCTAGGAAACACTAGACGTGTTCTGGTCTGACAATATTGTTTCTTTTGACACATCCAGTGCAACTGACTCGCCTGGCGAGTTCAATTTCGCACGAATAAAAAGTATGCACTGAGGGTCTATTACGAAAATTTGCGTGACAGTTGCGAGGATGTATTCGTAATGCCATCGACAAAATTTCACGATGGCGATATGAAAACGTTTTCACTAGTGTTAATAATAAAAAGTATAGAACTGACCATAACTTTCGATAAGTCACGTGATTGTTGCGCGTCAGTTGCATACAATTTTGAAGTTCGCTAAGGAATCGCCTCGAAGCGAATGCATTTTATGTAACCCAGCTGGACGTGTTAAAAAGGTCGCAATGCAACAAATTAAGTGGAATATAAAAGCTGGAACTGGGACAATATTCTCATCATGATGAGCTTTAAATCTTCAGATACCGCGATTATGTGGCGACGCTTTAACGACTCGGTAAAAATAATTAACACTCCAATTATAGCCACTTTAACCCGACGTCGTTAGTGTCACTTCACGCTTTATCGGTTAGTTTTATTTTATTAATTTTGTAAAAGATTTATTCGTTTACTAGCTCTCGCCCGTGACTCCGTCCGCGCGGTATAAAAAATAAGTTAGTAGTCTATGTGTTCTTCCAGACTATGTTTTACAATTATGCCAAATTTCAGCGATATCCATACAGCCGTTCTCAAAGTACCTTTTAACAAACATCCATCCATCTAAACATTCGCATTTATAATATTAGTAAGATTGGGTAGAAGACTCAAATTTTAGCCGAATTTTAAGTATCTTAAAAAATTATTTGATAGTGGAATTGTTATATGACTTTGTGCGAAATTTGACAAACAAAAATTAATTGCCTACTACCCGATTTATTGATGTAGTTCATTTTAAATCAAAACCTATACAACAGTGGTAGAGCCCGCTTTAACATCTTCGCACGTATTTCTACACGCATTTTCTCCTACCTTTTTTCTCTAATAAGCAAAGGATGGAAGTGGAAGTGGACATTCCGGATGAGAGGATGCATGGAAAGGGAAAATGTTTTCTTTCTGTGCATCCTCTCCTCCGTCGATTAAGGTAGGCAACGCATATGCAATTGCGTATGTCTATGGGCAACGTTCACTTCGCTATTTCGGCGATTTCAGGTGGCCGCTCGCTCGTTCGCCACCTTATGATATAAAAAAAAACTATACAGCCCTAAATGATGTATACAGATGCATAATAATACGTAATTAATATATTGTACCATCTATTAATTATAATATCGATATTATCAACATTAGATCTACAATATCATCGACAATGGTAATACAAGGTAATAGAACGGGATTACACCGATGCAAATACGATGCGATTCTCTTGAACACCAGCTTAGTGTTTGCATTGCAGATCAATTCAAGTAATATGTACGTTTGTATGCATCTGAATACGATACAATGATGTGACTACACATTGACAAAGTACAGAAACTATGAGAAAATCCTGATAGTTCGGGCTATTCTATTTACTAGTGTAATGTGTCTCTTATTGTGGATTTAACTTATTGATGTCTCTTTTATTCTCTGTGTCTGAATATGTCAGATCACGGTAGTGGAATTCAACCGTTATTTAATACTATAATAGTTGTCGCCCGCGACTCCATTCGCGAGGAATTAATATAAAATAAAATTATTAGCCTGTGTTCCTCCAGACTATGTTCTACATTTGTGCCAAATTTCATCAAAATCCATTGAGTCGCTCCGATAATACGTTCAAACAAACATCCATCTATCCTTCCATCCATCTATCCTTCCATCCATCCATCTATCTTAACATTCGCATTTATAATATTAGTAAGATTTGCCAAGACAAGTTTGCCATTGTCTAAGTTCGATTTTGCGTTTTAACACGTTCAATAGTATCATGACAATTACGTAGCTAGTAGCCCTGAACGTGTTAGATTAAATTTTAAAAAATGGTTTTTTTTGTAAATCACTGCAGAGCTTTTTATTTCTATTTATCCATAAATCTGTGGTTTGTTGGTCGTTTATTGTTATTATAGTAACATTGTGAAGTATCGATATCTCTCGAACGTGAATAAATGAAGGTTTTTTGTAACCTTTTATTAAAAATAGATAATCACAATGCCTTATCTGACGCGTTGGTGGCAAAATTGATAAATTACTAAATAAATATTCTGTGTAGTCTTTTAATTATAATTGGATATATTTAGTCAGTTCTCTGGAGACAGAACTTTGTAGTTTGTTGCATTCAAGACTTAAATTCACATTCATTCGACAACGTAATAATGAACTACTTTAGTTCTTGTTACGTTAAAATTAAACTGGTACACAACAAAATCGTTATCGCGACTTTGAAAATAATTGCGTTGTTAATTTTATTATAAATGTTCATTTGTTATATTAGATATCGCACAGTAGTGATAACTTATATTTGCGGTGTAAAAATAACGTTGCTGTATGAGAACTAAATTTATTCTTATAAAAATATTGTACGCATAGTTCTATGTTACATCAGGAAGGAATGTCATTTTTAACAAAATATTCGTAATCATACTTTACTAATATCATAAATGCAAAAATTTTAATGGATAGATGGATAGATGGATGTTTGTTTGAAGGTATGTCCGGAACAGCTTAATGGATTTTGACGAAATTTTTCACACATGTAAAACATAGTCTGGAAGAATACATAGGCTACTTTTTAAGTTTTCTTTTAATTCCGCACGGACTGGCGACAGCTAGCATTAAATAGATTTGAATTCTACATAGGTTTTCCTAGATAGAGTCTATGGAGGATAGGATCGATAACGAATGGTGGGGGAGTGAATTGTAGGTAGAGAGAGTGAGATCGGATGAGAGGTGAGAGGGGCATTGTGCGGCCCGCGGCTGACATCTGCAAACATTTCACCAGCCAGATATTATTAGCATTCAGAACTATTCTAATATTGCATGTTATACAACCACTTTCATACTACTATAGATATGTATTAAGTATTGTTTGCATTATGTATAATATTTTATCTCGAGATATTAAAGCAGGTCAGGTTTTAATGTGATTCATCTAAACCATTTTCAATGTCGAAATACCGGATCAAAAACATATTGCATTGTCTTATTCTTTCATACTTAATTCTTGGAATCAATAAATAGATGGAAAACGAAACTCATAGTAAGGTTTTCTTCTCTCGAATCGAGTGGTCGTCTGAATTTCCCGAAATGATGAAGCGACCGCAGCCCATAGACATCAGCAATTGCAGATGCATTGACTTTCTTTAATTGAC